TGTATATTGATACATAATAAATAGATAACGAATATTCCGCCCGGAAGCTTAATTACAAGGCGGGGAGGCATATATCTTGCAACACGATCAACTATTTGGCTGTGAAAACAGAAGATGACCAAACGTTCCAGACGCACCTGTCGCAGGACGACGAATGTTGGGAGAGTATCAGTCTGAAAGTAAGGACAATCAATTACACGTTCCGATGAGTGTGATAGACCGGATAAAGCGTCAAAAGGAAAGATTTAGTGCAACAGCAAATTTGTTGGTTATTCCTGGTGTGTATTGCGATTTTCGGACGAATTGTATCATTCATTTTGTTATTAGTCACAATTCATATCTTTTTGTTGTCCAAACCCTCACCGTGACACACGACGTCTCTCAAACTAGCATTCGGACTGGAGCTCAGTGCAACTCGATCCATAGTCGGTTCTGCTCCGTCTTCTCGACACCGCTTCTTGTTGTATATCGTATGTTATCCCCGATGGAGATGTACCACCGTAAGTTACTAATTAGTAATGGGCTGTTGATCTCAGAAACCGAAGCTTAAAGAAAAAAAAAACAATTGTAACAGTTGTAATAAGTCATTTTGTGTCTATCATAATTTGGTGCGCTCTTGATGAATGTTATTTTGGAACCGAAACCTTGGTTTTTTTGAATGACCAATAGATTCAATGAACGTGCATACCCTAATTTAAATCGTCGACTCAAACCGCGTCTGTCATTATTTTGAATTGCACTTTTTTTCGTCTAAACAGATACATTTCTTGCGTTCAACGAACTCCTTTATTATTTTTTTTGTGCCTACTTCTAGTTCCATAGCCAATGAAATAGTGTCCACACCGGGCACTCATCGTCAGCTACTTGAGGGTTTATTGTCAAACGGAGAACCAATAGCCTGTGCAAGTGCTCTTCGACCGGAGATGATCCGCGTTGCTCCCCCGTTGCTCCCAACCCCGCAGGGAACATCGTCAAATCCAACCACTCCAAACGGATCGGAATCCGCCAAGTCCCCGACCATATTGGCCCAGGATGATTTACTATCCGAGGAATTGATTTGGCTCAATCCAACCACAATTCAGCATGAGTTTCACTGGAACACAAACATTGAGGAGGCCAGTCCAACCTCCGAGGTGAGTTAAGCTCCACTGCAATCTAAGTGTCATTTGTGCAACGGCACACATAATAAACTCAGCAAAATAATTCTACACGTAGTATTCTACTCAAAGTGTGTGCATGCAAAACTGCGACTCCAGTCAGTCGTCGCATCGCTCTCGTCCTGTTGGTAGCACTTCAAATAATAAGGTATATTTTCTTTGAAATTAGAGACATTCACCGATAGAAATTCGAATAAATCGCTCAAATTTTCGACAGTAAACGGTGTACTTTTGAAATTATTTCGCTGTATCTCAATTGGTGTGTGCTTTAGAAAAAAAGTAGCAATACATAAAAGAAAAACAGGGTAGAATTTCTTTGTTAAATTACACACCTAAGTTTAATGAACAGCTGACGGTGCGGACCCCGTAGTCACGAAGACCTGCCGTTCAGTGATTGAAACCGGCAACCTTAGCCCCGGGACTTGGAGTGGCGAAACACAAGGCCCCGATAATTTAGGCTTGGTATTGAACCGGACGATAGCAGTGCTGCCTACCACCAAAGTCGGGTGGTGGTGGCGGATTCAAACCTCGGACCATAAGGTTCATAGCACGCCAGTGACAGTGACTAAACCACTGCACCACCACCGCTGTTTGCACAAGGTGAGTAAGTCATAATAGTCGGGACCTTCTGGCCCGATATATAACTGAATGATTAATCGCGATCTACTTGGTGCCTTGCGGTGAACGACTTGGTTTTTTGTGCTCGGTCCCTGTTCGGCTGTAATTGTGCAACATTCATTGCGCCAACCTCCCCTGAGGCCATTCCTGACTGTGCTCGACCTCTGTCACTCTAAACGTCTCTCCGTCCTACCGATGTAAGAGAATCCGTGTCCACTTTCTACTCGACTTGGTGCGGAGGGGAAACAAGTTTTGTTTTTTCAAAGTACCAATTTTCCGCCGAAATACCTCGGAACAAACAAGATATCCGTCGCTAAGGCACTTACTCTACTCGTTTCATGTTAATCTGAATAAGAATCAACATTTGAAGACGATGCATCTCAGCAGATATGTGCTACAAATAAATTCCATCAATCCCTTCCGTAACGTAAAACTTTTCCAACCATTCGGTTTGTCAGTGATGTGATTGGGTTCCGTGCATTTTGCTAGAGCTTTTCGTACGTCATGGGTTGTAAACCAGCCAGGTGTCAGGAGCTCCTGACAACAACAACAACAACAACAATAATAACCAGTTATCGACCGTTGAGACTATTATTTGGACTACTGTTTCCGCTCAGTTTTGCACATCAACCAAGAAATTCAGCACTTCATTGCTTCTTACCCGTAGCCTGGATTACATTGTTTGTCACGTCTGGAACGTTTGGTCATCTTCTGTTTTCACAGCCAAATAGTTGATCGTGTTGCAAGA